CCTTCAGCAGATGTACTAAAGGTTCTATGTGCTGCGTCCTTGCTGAAAATACCTCCAGATTTTCCCTACATCCCAAGACTTTGTAGGAGGATGAGATGTTAGGTAATAGATAATTTGTTAGGGCCCAAAAAATGCACCCGATGAAGAGGCTTGTGGCATTAAAAGGAACAAAGTACTTAGATGAGAAGTTATATACCTTGCAGATATCTCAGAAAAACTGCACAGTCAAGAGTCCAAAGGTGTGAACCTTTCATTTCAGAAGGGAGTCCATGAGTCCCTTGCTGAAGAAGAAGAGATTTACAGGGAACTGTTTTCATAAGATTCAGTTCACTGTGCTCAGAAATTCAGGCAGTTAGAAGCTGGAGATTACGTGTTCTAAAGTGGCTCATGAATGCTTGTGCTTATGGCAGCCCTTGGCATCACCCACATGATTCTGGATTTACTGGCATGCAGAATGCAAAAATTATAGGGTTAGGAAGGCTTCCATCCAGATTTCAGAGAAATTCCTATTAGTATGGTGGTTACATTTATGCATTTCTCCAGGAAGTTAGTGACACCAGAAGTCTGGAACATCTGCCAAGGAAAGATGCATTCCATGAATGGAGCCAGTCCAAGAGACAGGTCATATGGACTATGACCAGCAAGGTTACATAGAGGTGGGGATTCCCAAGTCCTCTGGAACTCATTTGCCACCATCACATGGCCTGGATGCCAGATATGGAAGTATAAATCTTCCATATCTGACCCTGACAAGTTTCAGACCTGATTCAGTAGGATTATTTTCTGTCTCTCTATTTCTCCATTTATTGAACAGGAATGCTTATCCTTGTCATTTATTTTAGGATTTCAAAACTTGTTTTGATTTTACAGTTCATGGTAAGCATTTGCCTTTAGTATAGTGGGAGAGTTGGATTTAAACTTTTGAAAACTGTTGTAGGTGTTGTCATGTTGTTTCTGCCTTGAAGTCCAGTGACCATGGACTGAATCTTCTAAAACCATTAGCCAAATTAAATTCCTCCTTTGTAGTATGAGTGTCTGTTTTGTCCCATCCTATTAACCACCATACTAATAGGAATTTCTCTGAAATCTGGATGGAAGCCTTCCTAACCCTATAATTTTTGAATTCTCATCCCAGTAATGAGAAAATAAGTGGTACAAATATGTCTTGCATTGTATTTCTAATTTTATAATTTCCAAAGAAGGCCAAAATATTGATCTATACTTGACAATTAAAATATAAAAGCTAAAATCTGTAATATGAGTCAAATTGAAACTCTTATTCAATTAGAAAAATGAGTGAAAGGGCAATAAGCACTCTTGTGGAAATTGTTTAAAACTTTTACTTGTTTACTGAGTCAGATTTATAGTGCTGAGAAATAAAATAGTGATAATTTTACCACTGTTTACCACTGTTCTCTTCTGAACCTCGAGAAAAATGCTTTTTTCTGAAGTTCATAATATTAGTAAGGATTAGTTTCTATTGTACTTGCATTCTAAAAGATGTAATTCCAGTGAGATAACAAAACCAAAATAATACAATAATATCTCAGTTTACAAACAATTTATTTTACAATTGTAGGGAAGATGGGTGTATTTGTGTTTGTATGGGAAAGATGGCTATGGTTGTGTTTGTAAATCAGTGCAGAGTTTTGAACAGAAGCAAAATTTTCCTGAATACTTTGGTTTGTGAAATAAATTGCAAACAGAAGCGTCCTTGAGCCAAGTTATTACTGTACCTAAATATTCACTGAAAAAGTATCTTTCATTTGAATTGAAATACATTTGAGCTAAAAAGACTTGAGATTGCATTTAAAGCATATACGTAACAGTTTAATTCCATAGAAATCATTAAAACTATTTAAAGTATTTTATTAATTTTAGATTACTTAGTAATTGATAACTGTTGTACTCTAAGAAAGTAGCTTCATCATTTTGTGTATTATAGCAAACCTGTACCGCGGCTTACTAAATGTTTTCTTTTCTTAACTGATATGTTAAGTGACCCAATTGATATGTTGAGCAATACTCTCCCCTGTAAAGAATTGCAAGAATTTCACTTAATTGAAATGTTAATCACGGAGCGGCCCTCTACAAACAAGAAGAGTGGTGCTAAAACAAGCTAACAAGGGCTGTTAATCACGGGTAGGCGCCTCTAGTCTTCGCTAAAGAACTAAAGAAGACAAGAAGGCCCACTAATTTACACATTGTTTGAAGTAGTGTGTTTATATGCAGGGAGATTTGCCCATGAGTTTAACCTTTTTACCTAACCTTAGTTACTCTTCCCACAAGATAGATACTCGCCGTTTTCCTGTTCTGTAGCGCGCCTTATTGCCTCCCCCCACCCACCTATCTGGGCCATAAAGAATTTAGATTTCTGGTGACCTCTCCCCGACCTGGTGATGATCTGTCATAAAATGAGCCTGCCCCAATTTTAAGAACTGTTTAGCTTCAAAGAAATTACCGGGAAATACTGTGGCCCAAACCCCGATCGGTGCTTTCCTTTTGTTCTGTATGTACCAATGGGTTAGATATCAGATCTTTGTAAAACTTAAGTTCCAGCATCTCATAACTCGTGACCCCTTCGCACTCACTGGCGAAGACAAGCTGTCCTGGGATAATTAACTCTCCACTTTCTTCCCCAAATATTGCTGCAGATGTGCCACTCTGAGATAATGTCAGTCTGCAGGATGGGAATAATTTGAGCAACACCAGGAACTCCCGGGACTGTCAGAGCTAAGTAGACAGCAATACAGTTTCCAGATGCGGGTCAACAGGTTTAAATGGCCTTACAGGTTTCCTCCCCACTTTCCCTTACTTTTAAAAACCCCTTTCCCCAGTCTTGGGCGCGCAGTCTTTGGTTTGATCCAGGAGAGACTGTGCCGCCAGGACTGGCTCAATAAAGCCTTTGCCACTTAAGTTTTGGACTCTTGTTTCCGTGGACTTTATACCGGGGCCCACGTTATAACATTTGGGGGCTCGCCCTGGATGGAAGCAAGACTCCAGACTCATTTCCGAACATCTGAAAGTAAGTGCTCTGGAGGTTTTGTTTGGGCCGCGGTCAATTTGTAATTTTGAGGGGACGCCCTCAATTTGGGAGTGGGAACCACCCGAGGACAGAGTCAGTTGGTTTGTCGGACAAATTCTGTCCATCTGTGAATCTGCCCCGGGTGAGGAACCACTCCGTTCGGAAGGGGACGCCCTTAATTTGGGAAGTGAAGCCCCCGAGGACGAAGTCAATTGGTTTTTGCCATTTGTGACTCCGCCTGGGTGGGGAACCACTTCATTAGTTAAATTTGTTAATTCCTCCAGATCCCAAAATTTGACTAATTTTTGAGCAAAGGCCATTCTGCTGCAGCTTGTCTTGTCCTGTCTCGTCTTGTGTGTCGGTCTGTGTGTTCATTTGTTCTAATTGTTCCCCTTTTTGGTCACCTAACTCTAACAGAGCCTTCTTTCTTAGGAGCTCCTTCCTGGAATTCGGAGTGGGCAAAGGTGATTCCGACCGTTTGCCTAGTCTCTGTAGTTTTTCTGTTTAACCCTAACTTTGCCTTTTAAGTTTTTTTCCAGCAAAACCAGCGACACCACCAGCTATGGGTCAGAACGAGTCCATTATGGGTCGGAACGAATCTGTTCCCAGCACTCCCCTTAGCCTTGTCATTGACCACTTTAAAGAATTCCAGAGGCGAGGTGGGAGATATGGGGAAAGGGTTCGCAAAGCCAGACTAACAACCTTTGTCACACAGGAGTGGCCCCTGGGGACCCAAGGAGTCTGGCCCCCTTTTGGGTCCTTTGATATGGAGACAGCTCGAGCGGTCCGCCAGTATGTATTTGGGCCCCCCGCTCACCCCGATCAGATTGTCTATATCCAGGCTTGGATAGATACAATCTATGATGCTCCCCCTTGGATTGAGCCACTTCCGAATGGAGTCCTAGCAGCCCTCAAACCGAAATCCAAGGCTGAAGAGGAGACCTCCAAGCCCAACGCACCTCCAGTCTTACCTCCGAGCGAAGACTTCTCCGACCCGCTAGACATCCTTCCCTTACCCCCTCCCCCGTATCCTGCCCCTGAGCCACAACCTGACTCCACCTCGCCCTCCCCGCCTCGGCCCATTCGAACCCGCCGCCACGCTCGACCAGAGGGACCTCTGGAACAGGGCCACGAGGCAGCGCCACTGTGTCCTCTGCGGGAGGTCCCAGCCCCGAGTGGGGGCTCCATGTTTGTGTACACCCCCTTTTCTTTCTCTGACCTCTATAACTGGAAAAGTCAGAACCCCCCTTTCTCGAAGGACCCAGAATCTCTGATTAGCCTTATAGAGTCTGTTTTCTCCACCCACCTTCCCACTTGGGATGACTGCCAGCAGATCTTACGCATCCTTTTCACGGCTGAGGAAAGGATGCGAATCTGCGCTTTGGGGCAAAAGGGAGTCCGAGAACCGGATGGATCTCCATCCACTGATCGGCAACGAATTGAGCACTTGTTCCCCTCCTCCCGACCCGAGTGGGACCCTAACACGGATGCAGGTAAGAAGGCTCTCGATGAGTATCGCCTGAGGCTCTTAGATGCACTTCGTGCGGCTGCTAAGAAGCCCACCAACCTTTCCCGAGTGAGTGCAGTGCAGCAGTTAGCCGATGAGTCTCCAGCGGTGTTCTTAGAGCGCCTTTTAGAGACCTATAGATTATATACTCCAATCAATCCGATGGCACCCGAGAACGCACGAGCAATTAATATTGCTTTCGTGTCCCAGTCGGCCCCTGATATTAGGAGAAAGTTACAAAAGCTTGAGGGATTCGAGGGAATGCCTCTCAGCCAGTTGGTCGAGGTCGCACAAAAGGTTTTCAACAATAGGGAAACCTTGCAAGAAACAACAACCAAAAGGATGACTAAAATACTGGAATTACTTTGCGAAAAAAAAGCCAAGAGGTCAGCTAGCCCTAGGAAAAAGAAAGCTCGAGGTAAGCGACCTCCTCTAGACAAAGAGCAATGTGCGTACTGTAAAGAGATGGGACATTGGCGTAAGGATTGTCCAAAGTTAAAGCCTAAGACAGAACGAGAGACTAAGGCCCTGTTGTCTCAGAAATGAGGAGGTCAGGGCTCGCCGCCACCCCCCGAGCCCCGGATAACTCTCCAAGTGGGGGGGCAACCGGTGGACTTCCTAGTCGATACAGGAGCTACCTATTCTGTGCTGACTCAACCATTAGGAAAACTGACCAAGCAATCTGTCAATGTGATAGGAGCTACAGGGGGCCGAAAATCGTACCCAAAGGTGACAGCTAGTCTGGCTCGACCTGGACATAGACTGGTCCAACATGATTTTCTCTGGGTCCCTGAGTGCCCGGACCCCCTTTTAGGGCGGGACCTTCTACATAAATTACAGGTGCAAATTGACTTTGTTACGAATGAACCTAGACTGAAGCTAGGGACTGATACCCCCTCAAAATCAGAGGGTATTAGAGTGTTGGCTCTTGTCCCAGAAGGAGAAAGTTACCGCCTGCTGGGAAATTTGTCTGGTGCACCCGAGTTGTCACGGACTGACTTAGAATTAGAACTGCTGAACAAATAGAAACAGGAGATTCCAGAAGTCTGGGCAGAAAACAACCCTCCAGGGCTAGCAGTCAACCAAGTCCCCCATGTGGTAGAACTCTTGCCTCAGGCACGCCCCATCTGCTTAAGGCAATACCCAATAAGCCTACAAGCCCAGAAAGGAATTAAAGTCCACATACAGAGACTAAGAGACAATGATATTCTCATTCCTTGTGTCTCTCCCTGGAACTCGCCCTTGCTCCCAGTTCAGAAACCGGGGACGAATGACTATCGCCCTGTACAGGATCTCCGAGAGGTTAATAGACGAGTGCTGACTCTACACCCAACAGTGCCAAATCCTTACACCCTGCTCAGCCTCCTTAATCCGGAGAACACCTGGTACTCTGTCCTGGACTCAAAGGATGCCTTCTTCACCCTGCCTCTTGCTCCGGTGAGTCAACCCCTATTTGCCTTCGAGTGGACTGACCCAGATACAGGGGTAAAGGAACAGCTGACCTGGACACGTTTACCTCAGGGCTACAAAAACTCTCCCACCCTTTTTGACGAGGCGTTAGCAAGAGATCTCTTAAGATTTAGAGAGAAACACCCCGAGATAGTGCTCCTTCAATATGTAGATGATTTGTTGATAGCCTCAACGTCCCTAAAAACATGTCAAGAGGCAACTGAGGAGTTGTTAAAGACTTTGGGACGATTAGGCTATAAAGTCTCGGCTAAAAAGGCTCAACTGTGTCGCCAGGCCGTGACTTACCTGGGCTATAAATTACAAGAAGGAAAGAGGACTTTATCAAAAGAAAGAATCCAGGCCATATTACAAATCCCATCCCCAGAAACTAAGAAACAGGTGTGGGAGTTTCTGGGAGCTGTCGGATACTGCAGACTATGGATTCTAAACTTTACTGAAATCGCTCGCCCATTGTATGACTCTTTAAAGGGAGAGACTCAAAAGTCGCTCGACTGGACAGATGAGTGCGAGCAGGCTTTCCAACAGCTCAAGCGAGCTCTGACTGAGGCTCCAGCCCTGGGGCTCCCTGATGTTACTAAACCCTTCACCTTGTTCGTAGATGAACTCAGAGGCATAGCAAAAGGGGTTCTAACTCAAGATATTGGCCCTTAGAAGAGACCTATAGCCTATCTTTCTAAAAGACTCGACCCAGTGGCAGGAGGGTGGCCTCCGTGCCTGAGAATTTTGGCCGCTGTGGCAATGCTACTCAAAGAGGCTAAGAAGCTCACTTTTGGACAAAAGATTTCTGTGGTAACCTCCCACAGCCTAGAGACTCTTATTAAAACCCCTCCAGAAAAATGGCTTTCAAATGCCAGAATTCTACACTATCAGGCCTTGCTTCTAGACCCAGAATCAGTAGTTTTCAAGACCTCCTCAGCTCTAAACCCAGCCACTCTCATGCCCGACGATAACCCAGAAAACCAACAGATGCCTCTCCATGAGTGTGCTGACATTCTCGAGTTACAGCAAAACTTGCGAGCTGATCTAACCGACCAGCCTTTTAAGGACGCTTACAATTATTTCACCGACGGAAGCAGTTTCATTCAGGACGGGAGGCGAGTGGCCGGCACAGCAGTGACCACCGAGAAAGAGGTACTCTGGGCTAAGCAGTTAGAGCCTGGCACTTCTGCCCAAAAGGCAGAGCTCATTGCTCTGACAGAGGCATTAAAGCTAGCCTCAGGAAAGAGGGTAAACATCTACACAGACAGCAGATATGCTTTTGCTACTGTACATGTACATGGAGCTATTTACCATGAACGCGGTCTCTTGACCTCGGCCGGGACTAAGATTAAAAATGCCCCACAGATCCTAGACTTGCTAGCAGCTGTCTGGCTACCTCAGCAAGTCGCTATTATTCATTGCAAGGCACACCAAGTGGGAGATGACCCCATCATCATAGGAAACAATTTGGCCGATCAGGCTGCCCAAAAAATAGCAACCACATCAGAGGGGCCTGCAGAGGAAATGACTGCCCTGATGCTAGTCCCTCAAGCCTTGTCAGAGCCTGTTTATTCAAAGACAGATTTACAGCTAGCATCTCAACTTGGAGCCAAACCCCACACTCCAGGGGGCTGGTATCAGCTGCCCGACAAGCGAGTGCTGTTACCCGAAGCACTAGGACGAGAGCTTTTGCAGCAAGCTCATCAGGCTACTCATTTAGGAGGAACTAAACTAGCAGAATTGTTCAGAGATCGATTTTTCATTCCAAAGCTCTCCAAACTAACTGCCTCTCTGAGCTCTAGATGTCCACAGTGTTTGTTGGTCAACCCAACCAGGAAACCTCCACTGGAAACCACCCGGTATCGAGGAACCTCCCCAGGAGAACACTAAAAAGTGGACTTCACGGATATGGTAAAACCTGGCTTACAGGGACACCGCTATCTCCTGGTGATGGTAGACACATTCACTGGCTGGGTAGAGGCCTTCCCCACTAAGTCTGAGTCAGCCCTGGTTATAGTTAAAAAGCTACTACATGAGATTATACCCCGATTTGGCCTCCCATTATCAATGGGGTCCGACAATGGCCCGGCTTTTATAGCCCAAGTTACTCAAAAGTTAGCCCAAGTATTAAAAATCAGTTAAAAACTCCATTGTGCCTATCGGCCACAAAGCTCGGGACAAGTAGAGCGCATAAACCGGACCATTAAGGACGCTTTGACTAAGCTGTCTTTAAAAACTGGTGACAATTGGGTGAGCCTTCTTCCCTTTGCATTGCTGAGGGCCAGATGCACCCCATATATTTCTGGGATCTCCCCCTTTGAGGCTATGTTCGGGAGACCCCCACCTATAGTTCCTAAGTTGTCAGAAGACAAATTAGCCGAAGTAACTAACCAAGATCTCATTAAGTCCTTACAGAGTCTCCAGCCTGTACTGACCTCAATTCACCGGCTGTTCAGACAAAAACATCCGAACCCCCCCTTGGGAACGCTGCCCCAAGCGTCAATTGAGCCAGGAACGTCGGTCCTGGTGCGACGACACCACCGGGATTCGCTTGAGCCGCGCTGGGAGGGACCGTTCACCGTGGTGCTCAGCACTCCCACCTCCGTCAAGGTAGCAGAAAAGACTGCGTAGATCCACCACACACAAGTCAAACCACTGGAAGCTACAGACGACGAAAAGGGTCCCCGATAGACAGTACAACGGACTGGTAACCCATTAAAGTTAAAGTTTGTAAAAGACTCTCAGCCATAAAATTATGTCTGTACTATGGTATTTGGCTTGGTGCTCGATTATAATTGTAAACCCCGGAAATGGGGACTGGATTGTTTCAGACGAGAAAACTAAAAGGGAACTAGGGAGAGCTAAAGGCACGATAAATCAAGTCACCATTGACCTATGTATACTTTTCAATGGGATAATAATTAATGATGACAGCCCAACTGGCAGGGTAGGTGGGTCGGTCCACCGTAACCTCTGCTCGGGCCGTGGGCCTAAAGCTCTGCAAGTTATGTTCCAACTCAAGCAGGCATCCCTGTATATATGTCCTAAAAACCAGCCTGACCCCAATTATAATGTGTACTGTGCCTCCGATCCAAAACATCAATATTGTTATTCGTGGTCATGTGTCACAGGAGGCCTAGATGGATACTATAACTCTAAAAAGTATCTCGCTGTCAAGTACATAAGAAACAAAAACTGTTATGGTGTTTATACTTGTAACCCAGTCCAGCTGACCTTTCTAAATCCAACGGATTTTAGGTGGCTGGGGCAGGGACTTACTTACGCTGTTAAAATTTATAAATCTGGACATGATCCTGGAATTAGTATCAATATCTTATACAAGCCACCTAGAAAGCCTCCTATAGTCATTTACAGGAGAGGACGCCGCCCAGTGACAGCCCCCACTCAAAAGACACCCATTAATTTCCCACTCAGTCGACCCCGGAGGCACACTCCGACGACTAAAGTGACTGAGGCCACATACAATGGGAGCATTTACCACACAGACCAGCCCCAGATAAAGCTGTGTAAATAGAGGGGGAAAGGGGGCATCCCATACTGGATAGAGATTAGAGTGCCTAGCCTCGATCCAACCTCGATGCAACCTTCAACAAGGGCTACAAAAACTGGTTTGAGAAGGTCTAGACGGGCACAGACTGAGCCCAAAGCCTCCGCCCCACCTTCAATGATAGCGAAAATATTCCAACCTTTGAAAGTAGCAGCTGAGCTACTTAACAGTTCCCTTGATAGCGATTTAAAAATCCCATGCTGGCTGTGCATGTCCCCAGAGCCCCCCTTCTATGAGGGCTACATCACGGTCACTGATAAACTAGCCTCCGATCCCTCTAGATGCAAAATGCTCCTTCCCCAATCGCTATAAAAAGGCACCAGTTTAGAGGAGATAACTGGTACCTGCATATATCATTTTAGCCACACAGCCCCTGAGTATTGCGACCTTTCTCACTCTTATCGCATCACAGGAGCTGGTGACGCTACTCCCCTAATAGCCCCGGCCAGCCATTGGTGGGCTTGTACTTCAAGATGGTTCCCTTGTATGATTTCAAAAAAGTTCGTTGTTGACCAGGATGAGGTGTGTGTACTAACCCAGGTTCTGCCTAAAATCTACTGGCACTCCGAGGAAGAAGAAAACCGGGCTCTCATCTCAGCCAGTCACCAGATCAATAAGAGAAGTCCAGCCCTCCCTATTATGGCTGGGATCAGTGTATTCTCAGCCCTCGGGATGAGTGCTGCGTCCATGGGAGTTAGCATACACCAATACAATATGCTATCTCAACAGGTAGATAAAAAAATAAAAAGAGTCCAAAATGCTATTGAGGCCTTAGAGAGTTCAATGGACTCATTAGCTAAAGTAGCTCTCCAAAATCGCAGAGGACTAGACCTCTTGCTTGCTAAAAAAAGAGGACTGTGCTTGGCCCTGGGAGAGCAATGCTGCTTGTACGCCAATAAGTCTGGGATAGTTAGACAAAACTTAGCGGAACTCCAAAGAGGCATACAAAAAAGAGAGAGACTAAGACGAGGAGCTCTAGGGTGGGCGGAGCAAATGTTCTCCTTCCCACCGTAGATAACCAACATAATAGCGACCGTAGCCGGTCCTATCATTGTGATTCTAGTGCTAGCTACTTTGGGCCCCTGCATTGTAAATAGGCTGACTGCATATGTCAAGCGTCAGGTACAAAGTATAAAATTAATGATGGTCAGGCAACAAGCGTATGAGCTTGTCCCCAGCAGACCTTAAGTACGGCCAAGGATTTGGCCCAGAAGTCACAACATCAGAGGGGAATGTTGTACTCTAAGAAAGTAGCTTCATCATTTTGTGTATTATAGCAAACCTGTACCGCGGCTTACTAAATGTTTTCTTTTCTTAACTGATATGTTAAGTGACCCAATTGATATGTTGAGCAATACTCTCCCCTGTAAAGAATTGCAAGAATTTCACTTAATTGAAATGTTAATCACGGAGCGGCCCTCTACAAACAAGAAGAGTGGTGCTAAAACAAGCTAACAAGGGCTGTTAATCACGGGTAGGCGCCTCTAGTCTTCGCTAAAGAACTAAAGAAGACAAGAAGGCCCACTAATTTACACATTGTTTGAAGTAGTGTGTTTATATGCAGGGAGATTTGCCCATGAGTTTAACCTTTTTACCTAACCTTAGTTACTCTTCCCACAAGATAGATACTCGCCGTTTTCCTGTTCTGTAGCGCGCCTTATTGCCTCCCCCCACCCACCTATCTGGGCCATAAAGAATTTAGATTTCTGGTGACCTCTCCCCGACCTGGTGATGATCTGTCATAAAATGAGCCTGCCCCAATTTTAAGAACTGTTTAGCTTCAAAGAAATTACCGGGAAATACTGTGGCCCAAACCCCGATCGGTGCTTTCCTTTTGTTCTGTATGTACCAATGGGTTAGATATCAGATCTTTGTAAAACTTAAGTTCCAGCATCTCATAACTCGTGACCCCTTCGCACTCACTGGCGAAGACAAGCTGTCCTGGGATAATTAACTCTCCACTTTCTTCCCCAAATATTGCTGCAGATGTGCCACTCTGAGATAATGTCAGTCTGCAGGATGGGAATAATTTGAGCAACACCAGGAACTCCCGGGACTGTCAGAGCTAAGTAGACAGCAATACAGTTTCCAGATGCGGGTCAACAGGTTTAAATGGCCTTACAGGTTTCCTCCCCACTTTCCCTTACTTTTAAAAACCCCTTTCCCCAGTCTTGGGCGCGCAGTCTTTGGTTTGATCCAGGAGAGACTGTGCCGCCAGGACTGGCTCAATAAAGCCTTTGCCACTTAAGTTTTGGACTCTTGTTTCCGTGGACTTTATACCGGGGCCCACGTTATAACAATAACTAGATTATGGAGATGAAAAGACATGAATTGGCATAAGGACAAATTTTAGTAATAATTTTTCAAAGATCTATTGCTTTTGAAACACGAGAATAGAGCTCAACCCTTAATTTAAAATACTGATGTCTGAAATATTGTTTTTAGACATTAAAAGAACTAGTGGAAAAAAACCTAATATTTATATGGAATACAATTTGTTTAGATTATATTTTAACCTTCACATCAGCTTTTATAACTGTATAATTCATTCCATTTCAAAATATTACTAAAGGGATAATATCTACAGGATTTCCTTTGAATAATTACTAATTGTATTCTTTTTCAGTGTCAAAAGTTCTTGATTTGAAGCTAAATTATATAAATAATCATAGAAGTCAAAAAACTGAATTGTTGCAAGTTTAATTAATTTTCATATATCATACTCATCTGTGGTTGGTTCAGTGTTGAAATACAATTAATATGCATCAGTAAAATCCATTGTGTTTCCACCAATGAGTATTGCCCTGGAAGTTTCTGAAAGAACAATTTGAAGATGAAAGACAGCTAACTAAAGTAATAATGTCAGATAGCTTGAAATGTTATATTTGAAAATATTGTCTTTGAATTTTTCTGCTCCAAAGATCTGCTCTTAAAGACAAAGTGCTTCTAGGAAAGACACACTTCAACAATGAATACATTTTTAAGTAATAATGAGTTATTAGTGAATAAAGGAGTTGATTAAAAATGCTACATGATAGAGATTGATAGTAGTCTTCATTTTTATCACTGGGCCAACTATCCAACATCCTCAAACTTGAAGGAGGAGTGGTAAAATTTAGTTCATGGTTCTGAAGGATTTAATTTCTGGTCTACAGGTTCCACGACAGGAAACCTGGGCAAAGTCTGGGATTGAAGAAAGTGGGTTAACGCATGGAGATGGGAGAAGCACAAGGTGGGGACAATGGGCCTGAGAAGGACAGTTTGTTACCGACTGTAAACTCATAACTCCACAGCTCACCCAGACCCTGTAGAAATTTTCTTTACTAATCCCACAGGCAGCTGTCAAGTCAATCAAATTGACATCCATATTAAGCAAAGCTGAAAAAAAATGGAAGAAAATAGTGGAATGGAACCAAAAACCAAGGCTGGAACTTTACCCTAGATCTAAGGGAAAAGCATCCTAATAGATGTTCAAAAGTCCAGAAGATAGAGCATCTAGCGTAGAGTGGCTGTTATAAACTGGTCACATGGAACAGAGAAATGGATTTAGGGAGTGGAGAGAGCAAACCATCTGTAGGCGGTTCTACAGCAACAATAATAGGAGGTGTTCTGGTTGTTTTCCCAATTTACCACACATCTGACTACAGTTCTGAATTCAGTCAGTTGTGACATTAAAGCTTGAAGGAAGGAAGAAGGATACAAAGCAGAGGAAAAGGAACAAGGGAATTGAAGCTGTAATAAAGGGGCAAAACACTTTCTTGAAGCTGCAGAAGCACACCCTTCAAGAGCAGAGTTAGGAAAAACTCTTTTCTGAGTCACTGGAAATCCGCAGGGAATTGACTAGCATGCCTACAGTAGACTGAAGAACAGGTCTGCATCATGCTAATTACTAAAGCTTGCCTTTGGCTAACAGTATGTGGATAATTGGTGCTTGTCTAAAGAATGATTTACAAGAATTGTGGCCTCAAGGCGGGGTGGCAATTATTAACCTCAGTGGTCTCCTATAAGGAAA